TTGTGATGAAATTGATATTATCAGGTGCCCCAGGTCTCCAGGTCAGAAGGCAGTGTGAGGAGACCTCAGGAGAGATGAGGATCAATGGTGGGAGCCCTTGAGGAGTTTAAGTATGACAGAACTGACAATATCTCCTTGACTTGGAAGTCACCGGACCTCTACAGTGAAGGTTCTGTAATTATAGACTGACTAGGTGTGTAGAAGTACCATTGACCAGGCTAGAGCATTGACGGGGACAAATAATTTGGGGTAAAGTTGATAAACTTAGCTTGGTCAGTATTGAATTTTGAAGTTACCAAGGGACATTTAGATGAACTCAGGTCTGAGAAAGAAGTGTGTAATGGCAGGTTTGAGATGGTCACATTCATTCTTACTTCTGTTGAAGGAATGTTTCCCTGTGAAGTAAAACCTCATTTCTAAGTAGAGTACTGATAGAATCAGGGAATTAGAGGTATCCTAATGCATGTCTAAAAGACTTGTCCCATTCTTCATTCCTCTTTTGCTTCAGTCTTGGTTTTGTTTTTGTTGTACAGTACTGGCAATGGAACCCAAGGCCTTTCACATGCTAAGCAAGTGCTCTGCTACTGAGTTACACTGCCCCACCTTTTTCTTCACTCCTAACACTGTTCAAATGACCTGACAGTTTTGCTTTCTAGTCATGTTCCATAGGACTAACCTCTGACCTTGTTTGAAGCAAAAATCTTTAGTAACCACACCTCTGAGTGATTTTGGATGCAGACCAGTGCTTACTGTGTAAGTAGGAGTTCAAAGTGGTAAACCCTAGGCTATTAGGTTTCTGAATATCATATCCAAACTTTTAACGTGAGTTCGTAGGACCAACACACTTCTGAAATCAGTAGTGGGTACTCTAAGAAAGCACTACTTTTCACTTTGGGTCACATGTCTTGTTGCTAGTGACCATAGTTGGAACTGAGAAGTGATTACATAAATTTTAGCAGCTGTAAGTGGAATTGTAAAAGGTACCCCTACTTCATCTGTAGTGGTTTTAGAATATTCTAGTTCTGTTGCTTCTTTGTTGACTCATGGCTGTTCTGTCTGATAAAAGAAGACTGGAATAGAAAAAAAAATAGAAGTTACTACCTAAAACTTAACTTCTAATTTTCCCATTTTTAGTTATTTTTAATCCCCTTTCTTTCCCTTACTATATAAATAATTAACTTTAGAAAAAATTTTTTTAAGGAAACCTCTCAGTAGTCATGATACCCCTCCCCCTGCATTTGCTTTTTTCTCAAATAAAGGACTAGTGTATTCGTTTTTCTATTTTTTTAAATCTTTTGTTGGCCTGCCTGAAATGGACATTGTAATATTAACTCCACCTCCAACCCAGAAAACAGCATAATTATATCATATTGTGATAAATAGACCTACTGAGTGTTAATAGGTGAGAGTTAGGACTTGTTTGGGATCTTAGTTGTAGCTTGAGAGTACCAGTAAGAGGGATCAGTACCTCTCATCCTTCATACCATCAAAGACTTCACTATCTCCTTGTTCCCATATGTCCATAACTTGAAAGATTTCTTAATTAAATCAATTGTGTTTATGAAGTAATATTTTATTTTTCCATTTTTATTAACCAGGGGCCTAAAGCTGAGTCTGAAATCAAAATACATGCTTAAGACAGTAGTATCAAATTATTCAGATGCTTGATATTTATTAACTTGTGTGTAGAATTCCCACTAACATTTTTAACATTCCATGGTTCTCACATCTTAAGCTGAGACTGTGATCTATACCTTGGGTGATTATAGTTCTATTAAATTTTTTTTCTGTTTTTTCAAATGAAAGAAAAATTCACTGAAACTAATTTTTACTAGGACTAGTACCCCCTCTCTCCCATTTGTGGGGAAATGTAATAGAAAATTATTGGTGCCATTCTTAGAGGCCTGCAACACAGGCATTTTTAAAATAAGTTAAAGTAACGTTATATATTTGTTTAGTGGCTTGTTTACTCATGGTCATTTTTGTTGTTGTGAGACAGACTCTCACTGTGCATCTCAGATTGGCCTTTAACTTAGAGCTTGTGATCCTTCTGCCTCAGCCTCCCGTGTGCTGGGGTTACATGTGTGAACCACCACACACCTGGTTAATGACCTGTTTTTGTTTGTTTCTTTTTACTCTCTTTCCTTCCTTGGAATGAAAGAAGTAAAACTATTCAAAACAAAAAAAACGAAAGAAGAAAAATAAGGCTAGAAAATAAATATAGTCGTTCCTTGGTGTCCACAGGGGATGGTTCCAGTATACTCCCCCCATATCAGAATCCAAGATTGCTCAATTCCTTTATGCATATATGGCATAGTATTCGCCTATGACCTACACATCCTCTTATATACTTTAATCTCTAGATTACTTAGGCTGTGGTGTCAGGGAATGTGGGAAGAAGCAGTCTGCACATGTCCAGCACAGATGCAGGTCATTTGCCCTTTCTAAAACTTTGCTTTCTTCATTGTAGTGTTCTTTTTCTAGTTGAAGTGCTTCAAATTATGCCACTTAGCCTAGCAAAGAACTCTGCATAGAATTTTATTTCTAAGTTTCTCAACTTTTAAGCATTTCTGTCCAGAAATTTTGGAAACAGTGTGTCACTTTTCTTATTTTTTTACCCTTTTAATCATGTGTCAGTTTATAGCAAGCACAATGTGTTGGTTTGCTTGAGCAGACAATCCTGAAGAGAATATTTCCAAATAATTGGACTTTCTTGTTGCTTGTAAGGTTAATATTTAACAGAAAAAGAAAGTGCTCTTTAACCGAATAAGATTTTGGGTAATTACTAGTTGATATTTGTATTATTTGTTATATTTTTAGTACATCAGCTTTGTGTAATTGCACTGTCAGATGTTAATATCCGTTTAGCATAGAGAGAAAATTTGAAAACCCGTTTATCCAGTTAAAGTGTGAAATGGTAGAGGAAATAATGTAACTAAACTCATTTCATAAAGCTGTTTTGTAGGATTTATATGAAAAGACATGAATTTATTCTGTATCACATACATATGTATTAGTGGTTAGGCATTATAGTATTAGTAAACATCGTCAGTATTTGAACAATGGAAGAGAGTTTTTAAGTGACAGTTTTAATGTTTATGTATTTTTGTTATAAGTCATTTAAAATCTTCTCTTTGTTAGAAGGGAAACAGCCAAATGTATAGTATAAATAAAAAATTGGTATTTTCATAAGTGACATAAGTGGACATTGGTGGAAAGGTGAAATTTACCATACAGTTTCTAGAATATAACTTTCATAAAATGAGGAACAATATGCAGTAAAGGGCAGATCATTGTAATGGTGGTTCAGTGGTGGCTTGGGACTGGAACAGATGACTCAAAATAACACATTCAAGTTGTACAAAGAGGGTTTAAGTTAACATCAACTATACATAAATGTCCCTTAAAAATCTTAGTAAGGTGCTGCTAGAATTGGGGTTTTAAATTCTTTTCACTGGCTATTTAAAGAGTATATGAGACTAGCTGTCATTACTCAGGTTGTTTTATTTTAAATGAATGTGACCCTCTGAATTCCAGAATCAAGGGCCAGAAGTGATAATCAGTGAGTGGAATGGACTCCTGAGCCTGGTTGCTGCCTTGGGCAGTAGGTCAAGTAATTCATGCATCCAAGCAGTGCTGGACAGACCTCCTAGGGATGCTGCAGAGCCAAGGGTTTGGACCAAATGATTCTTGGGTCCACTTCACCCTTGTTTATATAAATGTTTTAATTTTAGTAGCTTTTTCTGTCTGTAGCTTTTTCTGTTTATTTCACTAATTTCCATTGATGCATCCTTGGTAAAATTTATTGTACATATAAAAAGTCACATTGTGTATAACTATTGGGTTTCTGTCTTTGTTACCCTTGTTCAGTCTGAACCAAGGAAAAAGATGTTATATTAACAAATTTTAATTCTAGCATGGAACCGCCATTGTCTTGGGTGTTTTAGGTTCACATGAAAACTGCAGTTAGGGGCTAAGAGGTATGATGACAAAGGTTGCATGGGCTTTTCCTTCATTCTTCTAAGCCTATGTGGTCTAGAAAACTGCTTGAATTGATTTTTTTTGTTATATGAATGTTTATATTATCATGTCTGTATTTTCATTTCTGAAAATGAATTAATTTGTGACCCCTTTCAAAAATACCTATTCTCATCTAAAAAAAAAAACCATCATTTTTCTGTCCAGTTGGTGAGTTTGCTTATTAATAACAAGAGGCAAGTGTTGCTTGTTATCGTGGGTATCAGTCTGTTGCTGGAGTGGAGAGGTCCTCAGCTGCTAGCTAACTAGTCCAGCTTGGCACTTGGGGTAGGAATCCTTATGCTTAATAGCAGGAGTTTGCCCAGCCTGTGCTGGAATACTTTCAGTGGAAACTTACTCCTTTTCTAGGGTCTTACCTGCTCTGTGGAGTAGCTCTCATGTTTTTAAGTCCAGAGTGAGCCTCCTGGGCCTGATTCTGCCATGTTAAGTTATCCATGCCCCCATCTTTTTCTTCATCAGCAGCCATACTTTACTTGTATTTGAGCTTTATGTTTCTCATTTATAAAATAACCATGAGTTACACGACCTGGTTACCTCACCAGGACTGAGGTAAGAACAACTGAGATAATTGTGACCTTAGGCAAAATCCCCTTCATGTCTGAAAATACTAACAGCTTAGTTTAACTGTGCTATGTCTTATAATGGGAAAAAGGGCAATGTCTTGTCCTTTGGCTTGGGAGCCTGGTTAGGTACTTTCCTGTTGGCATTCTTGCCATTAACAAAGGAACTAAGTTATCTCTTCATTGAACATTCGCTGTGTACTGGCACTTAGGTGAATTTATTGAGTAAGACTGTTCACTGCCCGGTTGAAGCTTAAGTTTTCTTCCCCAGATATTTTTACTTTGAGAAATAATTGCTTTTGACTGCTTAAAATAAAATAGTATTAGTTAGCCTACTTTTACTCATAATGATTTTGGCTTTCTAACAAGTTCAGTGTTTAAAAATATGTCTTTGATTTATAGATATATGGAGTCTGGGAGTGATCCTTTTCATGTTGGTGTGTGGGCAACCACCCTTTCAAGAGGCCAATGATAGTGAAACATTGACAATGATCATGGACTGCAAATATACAGTGCCATCCCATGTGTCTAAAGAGTGTAAAGAGTAAGTAAAAAGTGTTTGCAAATCTTAACTTCTATTAAAACCATAAGTTGTAATGAGTTCTATCAAGAATGTCTACAGTACCTTCACCTTCCAAATGTCTTGATTCATTTTAATTTTTGAGTTTAATACTTTTATTGATGGTAAGAGTATTTGGATGGGATTATCTCAGAATTTGATTTAAACTTTAATATTAGAGTATAATGTATTCGTTTCTTACATACGCTTGTTTTCAAGAAACCCATCAAATGTCTCTTCAGCCTCCAGAAGTGGTGGTTAAGACATTGCCATGGGAGCTGCCTGTCTCTGCAGTTGAAAAAAGCAAGACTACTTGGAATTGTTTTAGTTTCAGAGAACAGGAGCTTTTCTTTGCTGAACAGACCATTGGCACACCATTTTAGGATGTACATAGCATGTTAAGATTTTATTCACACATTCCTCCTACCAGTGGACTCAAGAGCCGTTTTGGTATATGTGACTTTGGAAAGCCAGCAATGAAAAGTATACTAAAGTTGCTTATTTGTAATTTCAAATATTGTACAGTACTAAGGTACATAGTAAGAGATAAAATAAAATAGAACTGTTGGAAGTTTAGTATTTCATTGACATTATGAATGGTGTTTTTAAATGAACCCAGCTGAGATTATAGCCACTAATTAAGGAATTTTCTTTGTTTGTGGGTGTGTGGGTAGAGTATTGGGGTTGCAGTTAGGGCTTCCTGCTTCCTGCCAGCACTTTTTTTTTTTTTTTGAGATAGGGTCTTGCTTTATGCCTGGACTGGTCTGGACTGAGATCCTCCTATTTATGTTGCCCCATGTAGCTGGGATGATAGGTGCATGCCACTATGCCCAGCCATTCGTTGAGATGGGGTCTCACAAACTTTTCCTCCTCTGGTTAAGTTCTGGTTAAGAACTTAGGTAAAATTTTTGGATTCAACTACTGATTTCTTCATTTACAAGTGGTGTGAATGGTAGAATATAACTTACAAAGTTATTGTGAAAATTAAATGAATTAATATATGTAAAGCTTGTTGCTCAGTCTATAGCAAATAGGAAGTAGTCTGAATATTGACGATGGTAGCGATCATCTACCCCAGGAAGCTGTCTGTGGATATACATTGGATGCATGTTAGATGTTTGTATTTGAAGGATTATCTCCTCTTCCCCTACTGACAGCTTTAAATCAAGTAACGAAATGAATACCTATGTTATCTGTTATCCAGATTAAGAAACAGAATAGTTACTAATACTAGAAGTTGCTTATTTATCTCCGTCCTATGGGGATTAGTTTTAATAATTATAGGACCATTCAGATTTTACTTTTTCTAGTGTCAGTTTTGCTAAGTGATGTATTTCAAGAAACTTGTCCTGTCCGTTTTATCTAACTTTCCAGTTTATTGGCCTGAAGTATAATGTCCTTTAATTATATTTTAAAGCTGTATAGGATCTGTGGGATGTTGTCCTCCGGTGTTGACAATTTACGCCTTCTCTTATTTTTGTTTTGGTCAGTCTCACCAGAGGATTGTTGGTTTTATTAGTTTATCAAAGAACTACCTTTTGCTTTTATTAATTTTCTATTATACTTTTTGTCTTATGTTTTTTCTTTTTTTCTTTCCTATGTTATGTCCTTCTACCTACTTCCAGGATCTAATTCTGTTGGTTGGTTACTCAGCCCACACATTTTTCTGTATTATAATATATAAGGCTATAATTTGCCTTCTAGTATCAGTTTAGATTTATCCCACTAGTTTTGATTTATAATCTTTTTTTGTTACTCAGCTCTTATTTTCTGATTTTGATGCATGAGTTGTTTACAAGGTTGTTTTAAGTTTCCAAATGTATAATATTTTACTAATTAGCTTTTTGTTACTGATTCCCATGTTAATTGCATTATAATCCAAGAATACAGTCTATGTGCTTTTTGCGGGGGAGTGGTACTGGGGTTTGATCTTGGGGCCTCATACTTTGTGATACTCTCCCAGTCTTGTTTTTTAAATTTTTTTCAAATTGTTGAGGCTTGCTTATGGCTTATCATGAGGTTAATTTTTACAGTCTTATTTGTTCTAGGAAAAAAATGTATGATCTGTAATATATCTCTAAGACCAAGCTTATTGTTTATGCTGTTCAAAAGTATCTGCATTCTTTCTGAGAACCACTATGATGGTCTTTATTGTTTTATTCCCAGAGGTCTGTCAGTTTTTGCTTTGAGTGTTTCAGAATAATGTTATTGGGTATTTTAAGTTGAAAACTGTTGTATCTTTCTAATGAAATTGAACCTTTGTGTCAGTTTGTATCAGAGGTTGTGATAATAATGCTTTTTGCCTTAAATTCAGTCTGTGCTGTATGGTTTTGGTTAGCATTTGTGTGCTGTGTAATTTTTCATTTTACTTTACAATTTTCATGATATTTTTTAACAGCCTGAATCTGGGTCTTTCTTTAATCTCACCTGATCATGTTTGTCTTTTAATTCAAAAGCTTATTCCATTTATATTTATTGTGAATCTTGATAAATGTATATGTATTCTATCTTTTTGTATGGTTTTGTCCTACTTTTTTCAGTTTAAAAGTTTTTATGCCATCCTTTTTGGGGGTTGTTGGAGTTTTTCTACCTCATTTGCCTTTTTTTCTTCTTGAGTAGCTGGGAGGTGATAGTCTATAGTGGTGATTCTCCTATGTACTTTAGCACATCATACCTTGTCATGTTTGTATTCTTAATTTATTGGAATCCACAGTTAATCCTTCTCACCTTTATCTTTATTGTCTTTTTTTTGTGGGACCTGGATTTGAATGTAGAGCTTTGCACTTGCAAGACAGGCAGTCTACCCACTTGAGTCACACCTCCAGTCCATTTTGCTCTGGTTTATTTTGAAGATGAAGTCTCATGAACTATGCCCTGGCTGGCCTTGAATCTCAGTTCTCCTGATCTTAACCTCTTCTACTTACTGTGCTTAGGATGTGTTACATTCCTGGTTCATGATTTATGTTCATTTATGAACTTGGAAAATTCTTAGCCACTATCTTTTTCTCATCCTCTTTATATTAGATGTTTTCACTCTGTCTTCCTTATCTTTTAATCTCATATTTTCCATCTCAGTCTACAGATACTAAGGATATTTTCTTGACTTTATCTTTCAGTTCATTAATTTTCCTTATGTCTAATTTTAAGTTTGTCCATTGAGTTTTAGTTACAGTGATTCTCACTTTCAGAAGCCTTGCTTAATTTTTTCTCAACTACATAGTGTAAGTTTGTTCACTTGTCATAGTTTCAAGCTTCTCCTTCAAATGTCTTGAACATTTTAGCACAGTTATATTCTGTGTCTGAACGTTTCAGCATTTGACGTATTTGGATTCAGATTTTGTTGTATGTTCCATTGTTTCCTTGAGTTGTGATATTTTTCTTAATAGTACTGCTGGAGCTTTGCATTCCTGCAGAAAAGATTTGTGGATTTATTTCTCTGGTTTCCCAGGAGTACTTCTACCTGAAAGCACTTTAACTTCACTATATTTACCATACACATAGCATTATGTTGAAGCACAAATTTATGTGAGGACCATCTCGCAGTCACAAGGTTTTAGAAGGAATTTACCCACCCTACATCCATAAGTGTTGAGGTGCCCAAGTTTGCTCTTGACCTCTCCTGACCACTGATTTCTTTCTCATTTTTTGTTAACTCTCACACTGAGCTGGGGTCCTCATTGCACCCCCTTGCACCTCTTCAAGAGTGCCTATTTTATTGCCCCCCTTAGTAGGGCCCACATGTTATATTCTGTTATGTGCACCCAGCGTAGCCTTCAAAACCAAAGTAGTAGTGACTGATTAGGCTGAAGGCTAGTTTTGTTATTCATCCCGGAAGGATCCTGCTTTCATTCTTTTTAGTTTCTAAGTTTTCCTTATTTATTTTTGCCAACACAATGCTTTTAAGTAAAATATATTTCCAAAAATAATATTACCTGTTATTTTAGTTGTTTTCATCAGGTGGGTCATTCATTCTTCCTAAAACACAAGTTGTCTTAGACTCTATTTTGTGTGCCATTGCTGATCCTTATATCTGGTTCTTGTATGCCACTAAGCCAGCAGTTAATTTAGGAACAGATGTTGATACCTAGAGTTAATTTTAGATTATAGGGAATTATGTTTGTATGTTTGACTTATAGGTATATCTGGAGGTTGTGATTTTTTTATTTTATGAATGTGATAACACTCCCACTTAATTAATGAGCCTAATTAAATTGATGGTATATATGTAGGAAATAATTTTTATTAATGGAATAATCCATCATTACTAATTCTTGCTTAATCGTGGAGTATCTTCCTTTCCAGCCTTATCACACGGATGCTACAGAGAGATCCCAAGAGAAGGGCCTCTTTGGAAGAGATTGAAAACCATCCTTGGCTTCAGGGAGTGGACCCTTCACCAGCTACAAAGTATAACATCCCCCTTGTGTCCTACAAGAACCTCTCGGAGGAGGAGCACAACAGCATCATTCAGCGCATGGTGCTTGGGGACATAGCGGATCGAGATGCCATCGTGGAGTACGTCAGGGCTTGTTAGTTTAGGTATAGGGGCCACAGGTTTAGGATTCCTGGGATGGGTTCTCATTAGTCTTCAGAATAGAGTTCTAGCATCCCTGGCCCCTACTTGACACATACTGGTTTCTTTGGTTTGGTTTTGTTGCAGTAAACAAGTAAGCCATTGCTGGGTGGTGTCAGTGAGTGCTGTGGCCTTTCCTATGTCTTATAGAGGTAGATTAAAATAGGTTGTGTAGTGTCTCAGTCTGCACCTTGTCTGTAGCACTAGCCTCTTCATCCCTGGGCCTTGTGGAATTTTCCGAAGCACTCTTATGGTGTGTCCCATGACAGGCCAGATGTGGGAAGGTGGGCAGGGCCATGTGCCTTGTTAGGTGATTTGCCACCAGCACCTAGCCAAACAGGGTGCTTATTGAGCATTACTTTTTAAATGAAGGAATACATAGATTTTATTCAAAGAGGTTAACGATGACATGCTCTCAGTTGTATTAATAATTCTCCAGTGCCTAAAATGCCAATAAGTGCAAAGAGTGTAAAAATATAAACATTTCTCTGCTTTTCCAATTGATACTAATGCTTCAGTATGCATTCATGTAGCACAACTTCATCATTTCTAATGTTAAGCTAGTTTAACAAGTACAAACAGCACTTTACATACAAATTAAATTCTCATATGACATGTACACTCCTGAAAGCTTTAGAGTCTTTTCTTACGCATCTAAAATTGACATCCAGCCCAGCTGCTATCAGCATTTTGTATTTATTCACGAAAATGTATATTCAGTTGTTTAGAATTCAAAAATGACCTAAATTAATAGTTTTTCCTCTGGTTTGCATAATTTTAAGGCTTCCCAGTCATTGAACTTCATTTGCTTGTACATTTTGTTTTTATAATCAATTCTTGTGAAAAACAAACCTGTCTAAGTGGCTAATATTTGCTCTGACCTTGTTTTCCTTAGAGCCCTGGAAACCAACAGGTATAACCACATCACAGCCACTTACTTCTTGCTTGCTGAAAGGATCCTAAGAGAAAAGCAAGAGAAAGAAATACAGACCAGATCTGCAAGTCCTAGCAATATCAAGGCCCAGTTTAGGTGAGAAAAATACCTACACTGATTTTAGTAAGTTAACATTTTGAAATAGTGAATTTTTTTTTTTTAATGCTTCCTAACTCTGGAATGGAAGGATACTAACACTGATGACAGCCTCACTAAGAGGCCACAGGCCACAGCTGGGCTTCTCAGGTGCACATGTCACCCAGGTTGCCTTCCCTTCTTGGCTCAGTGGGCAGAGGGCCTGCGTCTGTTGGCCTGGCCAGGAGACCCGTTTGGAGCCAGAGTGGTTGCCAGTTATTTCCATTAAACTTCCAAGTCTGACACATATTAAGGTATTATTTTCTTTTAGATTTTATTCTAGAAACAATAGTGAATTCTCCCTCGGTTCTTTAAAATAAAGAGGGCATTTCTGTGGTATGACTTCTCAAGATTTCAGGGACTGGGCAGTCAGTTCAACTAGTTGATTTATTAGCTGTTTGACCTTGGAAGGTCACCTAACCTCTCTGATTTAGCTGCCTAAACTGTAAGATGAGATGATAATGCTGTTTATCTCTGAGGTTATAGTAAGGGATAAATGAATTAAGTATGTGAAGTGCTTAGAATAGAGCTTTGTGCTCGCTATCATTGTTAGGAATATTTTACTACACTTTCTTAGGTGAAGTAGTTCCCCCAGATCCTGGCTGCCAGAGTAAAGCCTGCCCTGGGGGTTAACCGTCATGGTCCCAGCCTGTCAGCCAAATCACTGTCTTCAAGCATGTGTGATATTTGCTGGTAACTTTCCCAGTATGTGTTGATTTCTTCATCTGCAAAAAGGAGTAATCCTCCCACTTCATGGAATTGTGGGCTTCAGTGAACTAACCCTGCACAGCTCTTAAAGGAGCAGCGGTGTCATTGTAAGCCATCCTGTCAGTCTGATTTGCTTATAAATTTTGTTACCATTTTTTCTTCTCTCATTAAGACATGATTTTCTTACAGTGTTATGGCTATAAAGATTACTTGTTTACTCTCACTGTGTTTCAATAAATGTGTGCTATTAAATAGTTTGATTTTTCACACTAATAGCCTTTGGTTGAGGAAGGCCTAGCTGGAAGAGTGCTCACTATCATGCTGCCAGTCTCGTTTCTAGATGTGGACTCTCAGTAGATTCTGGCTTTAAGTTAGGGGTGGAGAGGGGAGAAGAGAATTGCTGGCATCCCATCTGGGTCTCCCCCTCCTCCTCCTCCTCCACCTCCTTTTTCTCTAGCATTGATTGACTGCAGTTCACACCTCTCAACACCTTCCCCTTCCCCCCACAGAGCTTTGCTCAGTGCTGGGGGTGTTTTGAGCAGTTATCCTAGGAATGGCTCCATGGTGAGACTCTGCAGGCCCATGAGGACTTGTATGACTCTGTCGGCTGAGGGCAGATGACTTTCTAGGGCATTGCTTGACCTCAGAAGCTTTACTGAACATCACCTGTTACACACAACCAGCCGCAGCTATAGCAGATGGCTCACTCCTTCTTTGAGAAGGAGGAGGAGACTCTGAGTTGGGGAAAAGATGTCTGTTGTAAAACCCTTACCGTAGGCATTTCCTAAAGCTATGGATTTAATTGGGTTTTATTTTTAGGCTAACAAAATTGGTGTGAAATGAAAATGTCACAGAATGAAAGTGGCTGTTTTAAATGTCTCTGGCATCAAAGTAGCCTGTGGTAGCCTATGACACTACTACTCCCCCAAGTTGTCCTCGTTGCCTGCCACACAACGTTCTTATCACTTGGGAGACTCCAGAATGGAAAAAAACGTGAAAGTTTAAATATTAGTCAATTTTACTACCTAATGCTCTTCTGTGGGCATTTAAAAATGTACTTATTTATATTTTAGTGAGTTTTTAAATTGGAGATTTTTGTGTACCAGTTACATACCACTTTTTTCTCTAGTATTCTCACATTTAAATCCATTAAGCTATTTCCATTTGTTTTTCATAAATGCCAAGCTTTATACCATCATGTAAAATCAGCAGTGGAAATTTCAGGTTATGCTATAAGATCCAAAGAGTGAAGTATGTGTGATGTTCAGGTTTTGAAAAAGTGTGTGCTTTTCCAAATGTTCACTTGTAGTGTAAAGTTTCTGTGTAGAAGAGATGGAGTTGTTCTTTGCTCTGTTTTCTATTCTGACAGCTGTGATGAAGTTGCTGTTTGGCCATGTTCCAAAACCACATTTGCCCTTCTGTGTCCTTGCTGATGTTTACCGGATGTGGAATGGGTTTGCAGGGCTGCTGCTTTAAGTGTGTGCATTTTGTCTTAGTAAGTTTTTTCAGATGACCTTTTCCAACATCTCATGACTACATGACTTTTCCCCCCAATCTGTTATACAGGCAGTCATGGCCAACCAAAATTGATGTACCCCAAGACCTTGAAGATGACCTCACAGCCACTCCTTTGTCCCATGCCACTGTCCCTCAGTCTCCTGCTCGGGCCACCGATAATGTACTCAATGGCCACAGAAGCAAAGGCCTGTGTGACTCAGCTAAGAAAGATGACCTCCCTGAGTTGACTGGACCAGCACTCTCCACAGTGCCACCTGCAAGCTTAAAACCCGCAGCCAGTGGACGGAAGTGTCTCTTCAGGGTGGAGGAAGACGAAGAGGAAGATGAGGAGGACAAGAAACCCATGTCACTCTCAACGCAAGTGGTTTTACGTCGGAAGCCATCTGTGACCAACCGTCTGACATCAAGGAAGAGTGCCCCAGTCCTCAACCAGATCTTTGAGGAAGGGGAATCAGATGATGAGTTCGACATGGATGAGAATCTGCCTCCAAAGCTGAGCAGATTAAAGATGAACATTGCTTCCCCAGGGACAGTTCACAAACGCTACCATCGGAGGAAAAGTCAGGGCCGGGGCTCCAGCTGTAGTAGCTCGGAGACAAGTGATGATGATTCTGAAAGCCGGCGACGGCTCGATAAAGACAGCGGGTTCACCTACTCCTGGCACCGCCGGGATAGCAGTGAGGGGCCCCCTGGCAGTGAAGGGGATGGCGGGGGCCAGAGCAAGCCGAGCAACGGCAGTGGAGGGGCGGACAAGGCCAGCCCCAGTGAGAACAATGCCGGCGGGGGTAGCCCCTCCAGTGGCTCAGGCGGCAATCCTACCAACACATCGGGCACCACTCGCCGCTGTGCCGGCCCCGGCAACTCCATGCAGCTGGCCTCACGCAGTGCTGGGGAGCTCGTGAAGAGCCTCAAACTCATGAGCCTCTGCCTTGGCTCTCAGCTGCATGGCAGCACCAAGTACATTATCGACCCCCAGAAGGGCTTGTCATTTTCCAGCGTGAAGGTCCAGGAGAAGTCCATGTGGAAAATGTGCATCAGCTCCACAGGGAATGCAGGGCAGGCCCCTGCAGTGGGCAGCATCAAGTTTTTCTCTGACCACATGGCAGATACTACCACTGAATTGGAACGGATAAAGAACAAGAACCTGAAAAATAACGTGCTCCAGCTACCTCTGTGTGAAAAGACCATCTCTGTGAACATCCAGCGGAACCCTAAGGAGGGGCTACTGTGCGCCTCCAGCCAGGCCAGCTGCTGCCATGTCATCTGACTGCAGCCTGGCCACCTGCTCGGTCCTGCTCAACGCCAGGAGGACCAGCTCGCTTCACTGTTTCCTTTTGGTTTTACCCTTTTAAACTGGCCGCTATGAGCAGTTATTTATTACTTTTCATTTGTCCTCCTGATGATGTGACAATGCATGGTCTTTGTGCATGCTGCTAGACATTTTTCTTTTCTTTTCCAGCCGAAAAGTCTACTGTGTAATTTTTTACATTAATTTTAATGTGGATGATCAGGATTAAATTAAAATGTATATTTGGAACCTAATATAAATGGAGCACTTAGAAATTTGATGTTCTGCACTTAACCTAGAGAGGAAAAAATGCTTTTGTTTCCTTGTGAAAGATCCAAATTCCTGTCCTGACCTTCTGTGATACAGAAACTCCGTGCTCTGAGGCACACTCTCTGGTGTCCTAGACAGAACCAAAGCAATAACGTGGTGATGCCAGTGGGCCTGGGAGCAAGTGTGTTGCTGTACCCAGCTGTCCAGGGCCTGTGCAGAGCAGAGGAAGCGAGCGTCTGTACTGAGAACCTTAGAACCACGGTTTGAACATCCCCACACCTGTTTGTCTTAAGCTATAGTGTGAAAAAAGTTTGGGCTCTTAAAATTTCACTGAAAAAGATTTTCTTGTTTTTGTAATAGGTGAGATGAAGTACTTAGATTTATAAGGCAGCTTCCCCGTAGTGATGTTACAGCAGACAATCTTTTGTAATGTGATGAAGTGAACTAATGTCTTAACTCTACTTATAGAGTGTACGTCTGTCTAACAGAACAAACGGATGCTGTGTAAATTCCTTCCTGTAGGGCACACTGCAGGGTTTCCTTCGCAACCTGTAGAGAGAAGAAACTAGGGCGTACTACAGAAGCAGAGGCGCGGTCACATGCTGGCAAAGTCAGAACTCCATGAACTAAAACAAAAAAAAAACTTACTGGGACTTGTGTTTTAGGAGTTGGCAATCAGAATGTCTCTTATTATTCCCATTCCCTTGCTGCCTTTTGGCTCAGCTAGCTATGAAAATTGACTGATCAAAATTACACATAAAAGAGTAGAATTCACACATCCAGCAAACACAAATGCATAAAGCCTGCTTCGTAACTTTTTTCCTTGGAGGTGTTTTTCACTTTGCCTTCCTGCCAAACAATAAAGAACTCTTACCTACCCTATTCCTGTACAAAGATGATTTTGACCAGATACTCATCTCTTGTGGCATTTCATCTTGTAGGAAGCGCTATATTACAGATTGCTAATTTTGGAAGGAGCCAGATGCTATTTTTTTCATGCTGTGCCCAAGTGGTCTTCACAGCCATGCTTAGCAACCTTGGTGATAGTGTGTGGCTGGGCCCTGGGCCCTTGTCACATTCTTCAGCCTCCCATCATGGCTCTGAGTGGCGGACTGAGGCACATCTGGTCGCGTAATTCAGAGAGCAGGCAGAGCACCAAAGAACTGTGTTACGTTGGTCACAGTTTCTTCAAGTGCACCCTGACTGCTACTTTAGGATTAATACATTTTACTCAGAACTCTGAATCTCACAGTATACCTAACTATACTAAGTACCTGATACTTAAAATACTTAAAAATACTTATTTTACTTTCTAGACCTAGGCTAGCTAGGTGTGTTTTAAGCTACAGCTCTAGTTCATTGTGATATTTATAACTGAAAGCTATGAGAATAGATGTGTGGGTGAAGCCATAGAACATATTTGCTTGAAATTCTTGAGCAGGGATCTTATAAAGGGCCAGAAATCAGATGTGTGGTTCACATAGATAGTGAGCGTAACATCTGTAGTAAACGTAGGAGAGAAGTTTCTAATGGGCATTGGCAATAAACTCTTTGTTGCAGCTGTTTTCCAAGTAATGTAAATACTTTTCCCTGTGATTATGTATAGCCTTGGAATGGCACCTTTTAACTAACCCGTATGTGTTTGGTTTCCACTGGTTTTTTATATTCAGATGTATATATGGTGCTCACTCTAGAATCAGCAGTGTTGACCATTTATGCTGCATAGCTGTATTATAGCCTTATTAGTTGTGTGTGGTTGGTTGACCCTCTGGGTGTACAGATGTCTGTCTGAGTGGTGTTTTACTCATCCGTTGAATAAGTGAATGATTGTGCATGTGTCGTATTGTCATAGTATGTCATCACATAAAAGGGAGGGGAGAAAAACCATTACATTAAGATAATATTGGACCAAACTACTTATTTGCTCTAAACAGTTACTTGTACCCCTTAACCTGTCTTCAAAAGTTGCATATAGTTACAGTAGTGTATAAATTAAATATTGTGGGAAATCAGTCTTGTATTTTTCTGTATGTGTGTATATATATAATTATGTACTTCTGGCAGTTCTATCTGTATTTAAAGATGTGACAATCTTGACACCGATTTTAAGAATAGCCGTGAGAATGAATTGAAGATAATCCCTACCACGTAAGAACTGATGTGCGTTAGGAGGGTACAGAATTATCAGCTGATTTGGTCAATTGCTTCCAATTCTGGTTGATTTTCCTCATTGTGTAAACATTGACAGGTATGTGGCAAACAGGAAAATAATCCAAATAATAAAGTGACATATTGGTGTTCAGCAATATAAACCGTGTCCCGTGTTGTATTTCTTCTCATATATGCATCCTGGTCTGGCCCAGCCAGTTTCCCACACGCCCTGCCACCTGCACCACCAGATGCGGCTGTAAAAACACAGTTACAACCATTCTTGCTTTAAACTCACCACTGCCGATATCGGATGGGCCCCAGGGTTGCTCATTGTTACACTCTCCATCTTCTTTAGGGCTCACTGCTGGGTTTCCTTTTAAACTCTGTAGGTAGAAGAAACTATAAAACTGTAGCTTCCCTCACTTGGCTAATTACCATCCTCCCTAATGAGTAAACTGAGGCATTAGAAGCCCCCATTTTCCACCTCCAGAAGTCCCCAGAAACTGATTCTAACAGCTGCTTGCATACTGACAACTTGGCTTCTGTCCCCTCTAGCTCCAGAAGGACTTTGCTCCTGTCATCCTCTCATGCATCAGCAGTCTTTGCTTTTCTACTTGACCATTCCTAACAGTAAACAAAATGAGCAGGACTTTGTTTCCCCATCTTAAAATGTGTTCCTTCTCTAGCTGGTGCTGCATTTCTGTATTCCTTTCTCCCACTCTTGGCCCTCTGATCTCAGGTTCTTGATACTGTTGCCCCTCCAAAATGCTTTGCAGTAACCTCCGTGTACAAAACCCAGTAGGCAGCTTTTAAAAACAGCTTTATTGAGCTATAATTCATATACCACAAAAGTCACCAATTTAAGTCATACAACTCAATGTGTTTCAGAACATTTGGTGCAAGTATTACCATAATCCATTTTCACCCACCCACAAGAAATCTTATGCTGACACCACACTTTCTCTTCAACCCTCCCCACCAGCCTCAGGTAGTCACGAAATCCTGTGTGAGATCTGGATGAGTTGACCCCTTCTGCCTGTAAATTTCACATCTTGCCAGACATCACTTCTGCCTTGCACTGCACAGTCCACTGGCTCCTCTGACCCAATCTTTGAATTGGGGCGATCACCAAGATTCACTTAGCCTTTTGCTGAGCTTGTTCAGTCTGACATTGACATGCTCACAGAACCCCAAAATACATTCAGCTCCCATCTCTCCCAAGACTCAACTTTCAACTATCTATTTGAATTTTCTATTTGGATGTGTAATCATCTCAATTTTTGTAAGTCAAAGCTCAGTCTTTCTACTGAAGTTCTTACTCTCCCAGTACTCTGCATCTGAATAAATGGCATCTGAATAAATGGCATCTCCAAACCTTCATTTGTTTTCTACCAGCCCAAAATCTTGGTTCTATCACATTCGATCTGTAAGTAAATCTTATTTGCCATTTAAAAGTGGTTCACTGCCTGCACTCTAACCTATGACCCCATCGTCACTCATCAGAACGACTGTAAATGACTCAGAATTTTCTTGCTTTTCTGCCTTGCCTTTCTGTGGTTTATTCTCTAGTCAGGAATCTAAGTGATTTTAAAAGCTAAATCGTTGTGTTTTGAAAGGTGTTTAATTTCCAAATGTTTGGGACTTTTCACATAAGTTTCCATTACTAATTTTGAGTTTAATTTTGACTTGGTCAGAACATATATGTAATTTAAGTCCTTTGAAACCTGTTAAAACTTGTTTTATTGTATAGCATGTAAATTGCCTGAGTGAATTTTTTGTGAGTGCTAGGAAAATGCTGTTCTCCAATGTTCTGCATGTCAAGTAGTTCAAGTTAGTTGATAAGTGTTCAAGTTTTCTGTATTCTGACTGCTTTTCTGTCTCATGTCAATTTGTGAGAGAGAAATATTGAAACTTCCAACTGTAATTGTGTATTTGTTTCCTGTTTTAATTCTACCAGTTTTGGTTCATGAAATTTGAAGCTCTCGGTAGGTACATACATACTTAAGTCTCTTGACGAATTCACCCCCTTCATTATTATTAAGTGTTCCTCTTCATAAATTATTTGTTCTGAGGTTACTCTGTGATACCAATGTAGCCAATACAACTTATCGTATCTTTTTCCTTCCTTTTACTGTTAACCTAATCTGTGTCTTTAAAGGTGTTATTTAAAAAAAAAGTATATATATATCATATAGTTGGGTCTTGCTTTTTTATCCAGTTTGCAAGTCCTTGCTTTTCATTGAAGCTTTTAACTAGTTATGTGTAGCGTAATTATTAATTGAATCTGAATCTATCATCTCTCTAGTTGGCTTCTGTTACCTGCTCCTCCCCCCCTCATTTGCTACCCTGTTACTTTGAGCATTTTTATTGTCCACTTTATCTCCCCTGTTGGCTGCTTTGTCTTTCAGTAGTTGCTGCAGGGTTAACATATGTCTTCATACAGCATGGGCTACCTTAAAGCAAAACACTACTTAATGTAGAATGTGTGCTTTCATTTTCCTCCTCCTGTTCTTTTTGCTACTATTGCCATCTTATTTTAACAAATGTGTAAATGTTCTATTTAAAAACAAAACTTAATGGCCATATTGGGGGCTTGAACTCGGCCCTTGAGCTTGCTAGGCAGGTGCTCTACAATGAGCTGTGCCTCTGCCCTTTTGCTTTATTATTTTTCTAATAGAGGGTCACTTTTTTCCCAGGCTGGCCTGGACCAGGATTTTGCTATTTACATTTCCTACATAGCTGGGATGAAGAGAGTGTACCACCGTGCTCAGCTATTGGTTGAGATAGAGTCTTGTGAACTTTTTGCCTGTGCTGGCCTTGAACCGTGATCCTACTGATCTCAGCCTCCTAAGCCATCATGCCTGGACTGTTTTTTTTTTTTTCCTAAGAGGTTAAACTTGAAGAGAAATATCTTATGTACGTGTTTATCGTTCCCAACACTCACTTCTTTGTTTAGATCCAGATTTTGGTATTTTTTTCTACCTGTAGAATATTCTTTAACTTTCTTGTAGTGTACATCTGCTGGCAATACATTCTTTCAGCTTTCACTTGCCTGAAAAATGTATTATTTCATTTTTGAAGGATATTTTCATTGAGTATAAAACTCAAGGTTGGCTTTTTTTGTGGGGGGCAGCACTGGGGTTTGAAATCAGGGCCTCACACTTGCCAAGCAGTTGCTCTTGCCACTTGAGCCACTCCACCAGCCTTTTTTTGTGATGGGTTTTTTTCAAGATAGGGTCTTGTGAACTATTTGCCTGGACTGGCTTCGAACCACGATCCTCCTGATCCGTGCCTCCTGAGTAGCTAGGATTACAGGCGTGAGCCACAGGTGCCCAGCAAGGTTGGCTTTTTTTAAAAGTTCCAACACTGGAACAGAAAGCCTCACTCATGCTAGGGAAGTGCTCTAAAACTGAACCACACCCCCACCCTGGCACTGAATTTTATAATGTCGAATGTTGGATTTTGTTGTATTCATGGAAAAAAGTGCTGGATTGCCTTTTGGCTTACAGTTAACTTACAGTAAGTTGTTCCTTTTGGGTTTTATTTTTAAACTGTGTTGGACCAAATTCATAGCAATCTTCTGTCTAGGGCTAGTTTGGCTCACTGCTGAGCTCCTCTCTAAAGACCACCGAGGGCAGGGGTTTCCACTCTGGCTGCTATGATCGTGAGCTACTCCCAGCCTTGGATAAATGTCAAGGACTGTTCAGCTCTCTGGCGGTTCTGTCTTCAGCCTCGGTTTTCTTGCAAGTGCCGATCAATACACAACCAAAGACTGCACACTTTTCAGCCTGCCTTTCTCAGCTCCTTCCTCTCTGGCTCCTCTATGCTAGTTTGTTTTCATTGGTCTTCCTGTTCTCAGACTTCTGTAAACTCGGCACAACTACGTGGCATCTGCCTCCTGGCAGGAGTTAAGATGCTTTGGGACTCACCTCATTGTTTCTCTTCTCTCGGGGAGTAGCAGTCCTGTGGGGTCTGTGGCCCGTTATCTGGAAACTATTGCTTTATGTATTTTGTTTGGTTTTCTAGTTGTTTAAGGCAAGAAGGTCAATTGAGTTCCGAGTTCCTCTTATTCCATCATGGCCAGAAACAGAGGTGTAGAGCTCCCCGGGCCTCCCACTTAGACCCATTGTGCTAGCTACCTGTCCCTGCCCCCATTCTTCTCTCTCAGCTCACTTCGCTCTGGCTGCGGTGGTCTCCTTACAGTCCTAAAACAGCCCCTCTGGTACAGGCCTTGATTCGGCTCTGGGCTCACTTGCAAGACATGTTAAGTTTTACTCTTAGACAGCTGGAATGAGTAGTTCCCACTCCCAGGCCCTGGCCCCTACCTGAACAAGCCTTTCCAAGGGCCTGGAAATGCATCTTCCTTCTTGTGTATCATCACTGGGAAGGGAGCTCCCAAGGCAGAAGCCTGAGGACTCAGCTGCCCTGGCGGAGGGGCCAGGCCCTTCCTCCAGGGTCTGCTGGAGGTACAAGAAACTTTAGCTCCTGTCAGGCTCCTTCTCCTCAAGTCACCCTTGAGTGGGGCATTTAAGAATAGATAGAGGCCTGGAGCCAGTGGCCTTCTTAGATGAGCTGGTCGAGCCACCAGGACCCACATTACCTGGCTGCTGACTGGAGCACAGGGTCAGGCAGTCCTTGCGGGCCATGGGGTTCTGAAATCCAGTAAGGACCAGCCTAGCTAGGGCCCGTGCCCTGTGACCTTTGTTGCTAGTTTCTTGCTGGAAGGAGGTAGGAGCTTCAGGGCTTAGGGCTGGGAACATGTTGCTCAGGAGCTAGGCAGGAGCGGTGGGGTGGAAGCTCTAGTGCAAGTGGTGCGAACTGTCCTAAAAAAACCGGCAAAAGGCAACTGGGGGGGTGGTACGGGGGACGCAGAGTCGGGGCCACACTGCGTGAGAACCTGGAAGAGTTACTTGAGCTGGATGTGCATTTCCTCATCTATCAGTCAGGGCCAGTGTGAGGAAGCTGAGGCCCAGAGGATACACAAAGGAGCAAGGGGGCTCTTACCCTCCAGGCTTTTTGCAGGGCTGGGCATTCTTCAACATTTGCTTCTTGTTTTCTCCTGGAAATAAAGGTTCGTTCTCATAGCTGAGCATTTGAACTGCTGGTGGGGAGTGTAACAGTGTAGCCATGGGGAGGGAGAGAAGGGCATATGGCTGACCCAGGCTGCCAGCAGAGGCTCATTCCTGCCCTGGCCACCGCAGCACATTGGCCTCTGGCATGGCACTTCAGTGCCCAGGAGTAAAGAGCGACCGTGTGAAGTGTGACGGCCCCTACCCCATGTGGTGCTCAGTGTGTGGGGTGGCACAGAACTCAATGTGGTGATGGCTGGCTGTACGGAGGGAGTTTGGCTGTGCGGGAGTTGGCCTGGGGCCAACCCCACTGAGGTCAAGGTCCACTATGGGTCCTGGTGACAGTCTGTATGTCAAGCTTGAGGGAGGCAAGTTCAGGGAGCACCTAACAGAGAGGGGAGCGTGAGCGCAAGATCTGGGCCACTGCTGGGTGGTGGGTCCTGTCTGTGCAGAGGACTCCAGAGCCCTGGCCTCAGGTTGTACAGGTAGAGCAAGCAGGACTGTCCCTGCCTGGAGTGCTTCCCATCATCCCAGCCATCTGGCCAGGCTGCCTCTGACACTGAGCTTCATCATCTTCATCATCCCCCGCCCCGACCCCGTCTTGCTGAGAACCCTTCCTGGCAGGGCCAGCTTCGCATGAGAATCAGCCACACTTGCCTCCCTCGGGCCAGGCTCCCCTGGGTGGCTGAGGCTTTTTTCCCATGACCTGTTCCACACAAAGTCCAGCCCACTATCCTCAGTGAAAGCTGCCAAGACTGGGAGCACACTTGGCATGGGGTCCACAGACCACTCTCAGTTCCCAGGGCAGCAGCCCCCTCCCCTTGACCTCATGCACCCTCTGAGAAATGCAGGGTTGACCTTGGCTTCTGAAGCCTTTTCAGCCCTGTCCCTGCCTGATCTCTGGGAAGGGGGTCTCCCAGCTCTTGGTAACTATGGAAGTTGGGTGAGGAACAGTGGGTGGTGGGTTTTACCCAGTTGGAGTCCTCAGGTGCTTGGAGAGATCTGGGTGAGCAGAGGAGGCTAGTTTTCTCAGGTGTGGGTCACCTTGGGGGCCTAAGGGAGATAGCTGGAGTGGGGTGGAGGCACCTACCATGGTTTGGTGTGGCGCTTGGATCTGAGGTGAGGCTGGCTAGAGAAGGTTGGACTGAGAGTCTGTGGCCAGGAGAGTGGGGGTCAGTGCAGACTGCAGGTGAGGTGAGGGGCTCCGTATGGAGGCTTGTGGAGTAGGGCCCAGATGGGAGAGGGACAGTTATCACTTGAGATGTCCTCAATTAAAATGAGGGACAACATGTGGAGCAACTGAGGACCTTGGTTCCCCCATGCCTCTTTCAACTGTGCCACAGGATTCTTGAGCACCTGTTTTGTGTGTGCTTCATGCTGCTTGCTGAGTGCTGGGGACACAGAGTAGCTGGCCACAGCGCTAGCACTCTGCCTAGCAGACTAATGCAGTCTCCCTTCACACCAATCTCTCTTTCCCACACCCATCCTTCCCACTGGCTGTGTACCAGGGGGCTGGCTCCATCCAGGGTTCTGTTCTCCGCTGTGCTGAGGCTTAGGTGAGTGGAGTAACTGTGCCTAGTTGCATACCGAGGATGGCAGATGCAGGCATCGGGATTGACAGCATGGGAGCAGCGGTGCTGAGGGCTGTGCAACCTGCTCACAGTGCCGAGGAAGGCCACCTTGAGAGGCAGCTGTGACCACAGGCAAGCAGATGGCTCAGGAGGTTCACCCAGGGCCCACTGCTTCACAGTCAACTGTATTCACGTGATGATCCCCAAAGCCTGGCTCTGGGGGAGACCAGAAGCCAGGTCCAAGGACCCCATTTGAATTTTCTCCTTTCCCCACAAACACAGGAGCCCAGGCTGGGACAGGAGGAAGATCTGGGGTTTCAGGGCTCAGGCCCCTATTGGCAGCTGCTATTCACTGACTTCCTAAAACATGAGCCTGATATAGAAAGTTCCATCAAATTCTGAACAACCACCGACTAATGCAGTGGAGTGCGACATCCCAAGCAAGAGAAGGGGCAGTCACTCAACCTATCCACACTGGAAAAGAAGGTCTGGAAGGACCCACATAAAAACACCAAGAAGGCAGATGGGAGAAAGCTGGAGCTTCCAAAAACAACCGATGCTTGAATGGGCTTGATGAAGATGCCTTCATCACTGAGGTGAAGGAGGGACTCCAGGTGCCAGGCCCCTGGGCTGAGGGGTCTCCCCATTCTTCCCCTTCATCCAGGTGGGCTGGGGATCTGCTGCCTACTGACTCCACGTACCACAGGCTGCAGTGTCTCGGCTCTGAGGGATTCTGACCTCTGGTGGGGAGGGCTGTCTAATGAGCCTCCTGCTTCATGAGACTGGATGTTCAAGGAGTATGCAGTCTGAACAGCTGGCAGGTTGGGTAGGACCCCAGGCCCTGCCTCGGCAGGGAGCAGCCAGGGGCTCTAGCAGCAAGGCCTGTGTGCCTCACCCATCTCCCTGTGGCCTGGGCAGCCAACACAGGGTTGCCATGCCTGTAAGTGAGGGGAGCCCGTGGACACAGCTGGGGAGGTGGATGGCAACCTGCCAAGGCTTCCTTGTACCTCCCTAGGGGCTAGGGCTAGGCTGCAAGCCTTGGCTCCCCATCTCGTCCTCCACCTTTAACCACCTGACAGAGGGATGGGGGTGGCTTCAGAATGGAGGGGGCCACTGTCCGTGTCTGGGAGGGGAAGCAGGAGTCAGAGAGGTGCAGGTTGCCTTTAATAGCTTGGTTACAAAGGGTCTGTTAACACACTGCAAAACAGAGCTGAGGAGGGCCAGGTGTGCAGACTGCACCCTTACTCAGTGCATACTGGGGGCATGCCCAACCTAGCACTCTGCCACTGGTCCCTGGTGAGTTGGGGACAGCCTGGCACCCACTGTGAGTGCCACATGGAGAGCTGGTGACTGTGCTATGGTGAGGGTAGAGGATAGCAGTGACTTTGGAGCAAAGTGAGGCAGCTGGAGGGGGCAGGGCCAGGATGGGGATGGGTGGGTGGGGCCAGGGCACTGTCAAGAGCTGCCAAGGGTCCTGGCTTCCACCCACCAAGTTGTGACACTGCTGAGTGAGACAGGCACCTGCCACATGGGAACCACATGGCCAAGCAGTGGGTCTGGGTTTAGGCGCAATGCTGCCTGAGTGCCCTCTCGGTGTGTGCTCAAGTGGCAGGCTCCAGGACAGGGCAGTCAGGTGTACTGGTGCTCAGGCTGACTTCTCCTTGCTGCCTTCCTGTGGTTCCTCCTTCAGGTTCTCAGTCACCAGCTTCGTTTGCTGTTGAGAGAACACAGAACGAACACCAGATGAACCACAAAAACCTAAGTGGGAGCACCAATGTGGTAGCAGAGTCCCCACACTAAGTGGAAGCCCAGAAAGCAGCCTCCACCCTCAGGGAAGAGACAAGCTGTCCCTGTGTCACTGTGACATTGAGGAGACAGGAAAGAGCCAAGGAGCAGAAGCACATGGCTGTACTGTGTGAGCCATGCCCATGCAGCAGGGGTTTCAAGTGGCTCCCTGAAGGAGCAGAAAGAGTAATGAGGGAGGAGCGCCCAAAAGAGGACCAGGTGCTGACATGAGGCTACGTCATTGCTCTGTGAGCTGAGCAATTTGTCAGTTTGATCTGTGTGTAGAGAGAGCAGCTATGAGGGCTTCGACACTCCAAATGATCACACTTTCAAGAGTCCCTTGTCCCTGCAGCCACAGGACCACTCTTCAACCCTCTATCCCTCCACCCCCATCCAGCTCACATCCTTGCTGGGTGAAGGGTGAGGTCAAAGAGGTGCTACCCTTCTGGATGACAGGATGAGAGTGGGGGCTGTGGCTTGCCTCCTCCCCACTCCCCAGCCCCACAGATCCCAGTCACCTCTGTCCTGTGGGTGCACAAAAACATGACTACAGTTTTGCCCTGTTTATTGAATAAATGATTAAGTACTTTGGAATCTGGCTTAAAACACACACACAGATTTTACTTATGGAAAAAAAACCCAGCAAAACCACGGTGAGTTTTCCTGTATTTTGGCTGTCCCTCTTGGAAGCCTGCATGTCACATGGGGTTGGAGGCGATGCCACGCTCAGTCTGGATCTCAGAAAGAAGAAGCCTCTTCCACGGGTGCAGACTAAAGCCCATGCTCCTGCTTTAGCTCTATCCTCTTCCCTGCACCTTGGAATCCTTTTCCTTTGTGTATCTCAGAGGAGCACACTTGCTCCTGAAAAATCTCTGCTCCTGGCACATCTTCCTCTGGGTGAGCCAGCCCAAAGGCCCCTGGGGAGAGGCCTGCGGACCTGTTCTTCCACACCAACACGAGGCTGGGTGAAGGGCCAGATAGTCACCTTGAGCAGCTGAGCAGTGGGGGTGGGCTCCTTCTGCGTGGACGACAGGAAGTAATGTTGGCCTAGGGACACACCCTGCCAGGAAAACCCCAGCAGCAATGTTTTAGTAACCTTGAGCCCAATGGGGTGGTAGAACCCAGAGAAGTGAACCTCTATGCCCTGTGTCTCCCCAGAAGTGGTCCCTCCATCTGCCACCTTTTCTCTTACTGACACCCAGGTTCTCTCACAGCCCATCGGGGCTGCCAGCTACTGGTGGGAAACTGCCCCACAAGGAAAACTGGTATTTCAGCCCAGCCTCACTGCAGGCTCTTCTAGCTGGAACCATTTAATACCCGACTTTTAAAATGTCTTTGGCAGCAAGAAAGAGTGAAGGAATGAGAACTGTTTCCTGATCAATTTGACTGAAGTAGATCACAGGCATTGCACAGGGGGAGGGAATCAGAATGGGTAGCACCTGGGGCTCCTTTTGAGATGCAAATTGCTCCCTCACTGAGGCTTCAGCTGGGAGCCCATGAGGTTCATGACAGGACACACAAGTGGCCAGCAGTCATTCCCTGAATGACTAAGCCCTAAGAGGTCTTTGTCTCACTTTTGGGAGCCACCCCAATGGTGCCCCATTTGTCCATATAACTGAGGTGCCATGGGGGAAGGGCAGCCTGGGACTCTGCAATTCTCTGTGGTGCAGAGCAGCTGGCAGAAGTGGTCTGTACACTTCTGCCTTTCCTCCACTTGTCCCCTAGACAAGTGATGGAGCCTGGTGGTCTGGTCAGGGAAGCCAAGTCTGCCCTAGTCCTCCATCTGTGCTGCTCCTCTCAGAATTTGATCTGCCTCACTGAAGCTTTGTGATCCTGAGTTGCGACTGGGCTGAAGGACATCTTAGGCTGGATAGGTCTTGCTCCTGCAGTGGGCTGGCAGTTTCCTCCAGGAGCGCTGGGCCATGTTGTAGGTCAGCTCTTTGGCTTCTTCTCTCTAGTCACCTAAGGTAAGTGATGTGGGATAATACAACATTATCCCTGGTTAAAAAAAAAAAAAACTTGGCTTCTCAAAGGTCACATGTTTTCTCTCATATGTGGAATATAAGCCCAATACAAATACAAGCAATATCATACACACAATAGAAATGTATACAGAACATATATGTATCCCAAAGTGGGAGTGGTAGAGGAGACCAAGGAAGGAAGAAAAGAAGATAGTGAATAAGAATGAGGTTTGTCACATCTGTGTGAGAACAAGATGCAAGGAAAACCATCAAACCGCACAGGGTGGGGGAAAGGGAAAGGCAGTGCAGTGGAAAGCACTATGCAAAAACCCCAGCGAACAATGAACAGACACCTAAACAACAAATAGACACTTAAACAACAAAGGGCAAAAATAAAAAACAGGTCACACTAAGGGAGATCAATAATGGGAGAGAGAGGATGAACAAAAGGAAGTAAAGAAGGTGAATATGGTTGATGCACTTTCTGTACAAGAATGAATACAGAATTTTTTTAAACCTGTAGAAACGACCATAAGAAGGGGACTAAGGTAGAAAGGAGAAAAATGGAGGGGATGAGCCAACTGGATTATAATGCATATGCACATGGAAATGTCACAAGGAAACTCCAAGTATAGCTATCTTTAAAAAACAACAACAAATGTCTTTTTCCAAAAATGGAGGGAGGGCATGAAGGTAAATCAGGTCCTGTCTGGGGGTTGCAATAGTGTGTGTGTGGGGAGGATAAAGGAAAGGATGTGGGAGGGAGAATCTGGTGGAAATATTAGGTATGCATGCATGAAAATGGAAGATTGAGACCTGCTGAAACTGTTCTAAGAACGGGAGACGGGGTTAAAGGAGAGAATGGTGGAGGGGTGAATTTAACTAAGATATATTGTAAGAACTTTTGCAAATGTCACAATGTACCTCCAGTACTACAATAATATAATAATAAAAAATACCTGGCTTCCATGAGGACCCTTAAATTAAAACCTTCATAAAAATACAGGTGGGATAAAAGAGTTGACGTTTTCTCTACAAAATAATAACAGTACAAAGAGAGAATGGAATTTTCCTTCAACTCATGATCAGTAAAACACTCATGCTCCAAATTGTTCTTTAAAAAGCCCAGGCTGATTTTTCACATCATTACTAGTAATGACTATAATAGGTGCCTAACCATTTAGTGTGTTGGCCAAATGCTCAGTTTCATCTGGGGAAGGGTATGTAACTGGATCCCCTCTTTCCTGTGGAGAAGTACAACAAATGTTCTGAGGGCAGGCGATGCTGAGTGGTAGAGACCTGCCTAGCACACACAAGGTCTGGGGTTCTATCCCCAGTACTGAAAGAAAACAAAACAAGACTTTCTGAAACTGGCACTGTTTTGGAGACCTGGGACGGCCATCATGGTCCCCACAGACCACAGATGGCTCCTGTGGCCTCCCAGGCTTGTATCAGAGACTACCCCTGGCTCAGCTCAGAGTCCACTATAGAATTCTTATATTTACAGCACTTAGGAAATCGCCAACTGAGCTTATCTACTGCCCAAGTTGATGTCTACTACAGAAAGGCCCCATGTGAGCGGCTCCGGATAGAAGGATGGAAAGCCCCACACATTTGTCATTCCCCATTCACTGGTGGGCTTTCAGACCTCTAGGCTCTCTTCACTGGTGGGCTCCCGAGCTCTTTAAGCACAGAGCAGAGTAGCTGGGATGGAGCCAGGCTGCTGGCTTTTGAGGGCAGGTGGCTGACACAAAAATGGGGTCCTCGGGCCAGTTCAGCTCAGCAAGAACACCTGGCTCCCCTCAAGTAAGCAGGACTCTGAAATAATCCCAGTTTGACCACAAGCACCCTGCACCTGGTGATGTCGTGGCTTTGACAGGCCCGGCAGCAGTGAGCACAGGGCCAGGCAGCCTGGCAGGTGCTGAGGGAGATGCGCCTGCCTGCCCCACTTCAGAGGCTGCTTCATTTTAATACTTGACAGAAGTGACATGGAAGACTTAACATGACACGAGTGGAAAAGAGGTCTGGGGGTGCATTGGGAGGAGGAGAGGCTGATGGGGTGAATTTGATCAAAATACATTATATGCATGTATGTGAATATCACAATGTATAATCACTTTATGCTAATGAATTTTTTTTTTAAAAAGAAATGAAATGGAAGACTTAGCCTGCACTGTCCAGTTTCACCTTCCTAACCCAGGCCAGTTCCTTGTCTCAGGAACTCCCTGCCAGCCAGCCAGCGGCTTCTCACACCAGAGCCACAGGCCCTTACCCTGGCCCACTCCTCTCCTTTCTGTCCTTTGGCAGGTCCCACCCACTCTGCCTGCCAAGCACATCCTTCCTCCCCTTTAGGCCTGTCATCCACCTATGCTGAGACCACCTGCCAGGTTCTCCACTCTTGTCCCAAAGCAGCCCAAGCAATGTTGGAATGTGGGAACACACTGTGCTGAAGGCTTCCCATCAAGCTTTGGTCTAAAATCCAACCCCTACTTTTCTCGACCCTTCCTCACTGAGTCCACTGCTTGGGCTCTGCTCCAAATGCCTGCTCCTTCCACCTCTGAGCTCTTCAGTCTGCCCCTGATCTCTGCAGGCAGGTTTCTTCCTGCTACTCAGTCCTTAGCCTGTCTCCTCCCCACAGGGGCCACCTGTCACCCTCCTAACCCTCCATTTTAATTTCTGCACTCCTCTTTACCTGCTGGCTTTCCATTATCTCTGTGCATATTTTTGTCTGTTTTAGATGCTATGTCCCACCTAGTGTACAATTTCTGGAGAGCAGGGCTATGACTATAACAGGGCCAGCACTGACTTGGTGTCAGTGAGCACTGTGGAGTGACCAGCAGAGCTGCAGGCCCCAGCAGCCACTGCTAATTCAGTCAGCAGTCTCAGTGTAATTAAGGCTGTCTGGGGAAGCCTCCTTTCTTCTTTGCATATAAACAAGACATACTGGAGTTCTCGAAGTCAGCAT